CTATTGTGATCTGCTGGTGACCTTGAGTCAGTCACGTGCTGGTAGTGGTTACGCCTTGTATATCAGATACAATATATACGTTTCAGAAATAAAAGGCAGCTTTGTATTTTACAGAGCATGCAATCATAAATATTTAGGAAACAAAATCCTACATGGCGTCAGTGGCCAGTTATGTAAATAAATTCAGACAGGTTTCGTTACCACAATGTTCACGCTTGGTTAAGTAAGGTCTGCTTTTATTTAAATATGGATAAACTTATTGAATATCTTGCTAGTTTTTATAAGCAAAACGACATACTTTGTAACTGAACCAGGTTATATTGCTAGCAAAATGGTACCACATGCGAGGTCAAAGGTCAATCGAGTTGTGCAGTCTAGTAAAGTCGGAGCGACAGTTCAGTAGTTTACATATGTAGGACACAAAGAGGGATAATTACCAATATAAATAATGAAATAGTTGTAGAAACTTGTTAATATATATTATGCCTGGTTCCTGTCAAGCGACTTTATGGGTACCGATAATACTTGTTTAATGGTACGTAAGACTCTGAAAAGATACACACATGAAAAAAAAAATGAAACATGAAGAACGTTGTTGCAACAAGGAATATCCAGGATATTTTCAGTAGAAAGCTGAGACAGAAATGTGACCTAAACGGTGTAATTTAACTTATTTTCATACCGAGCCGACTTGTCATATTTCATCAGCTTCCATCGGTACAGTCACGTAATTAGTACATTTCCGAACACAATCTGGTGTGTGTACTCTAAGAATGTTTCTATTATACGTGATGACGTTATTATATAAAAGAACGAATTTTAACATCCCTGAGTTTGTTAAAAAGTTACCGGAGTATTCATATTGTCGGTATTGGTAAATATCAGCTGCATTGTCGAGATAAACAGTCCCAGATGTTGACAGTAACATCGTCCCCATGTCGAGATAAACAGTCCCAGATGTTGACAGTAATATTGTCCCCATGTCGAGATAAACAGTCCCAGATGTTGACAATAATATCGTCCCCATGTCGAGATAAACGGTCCCTGATGTTGACAGTAATATCGTCCCCATGTCGAGATAAACAGTCCCAGATGTTGACAGTAATATCGTCCCCATGTCGAGATAAACAGTCCCAGATGTTGACAGTAATATCGTCCCCATGTCGAGATAAACGGTCCCTGATGTTGACAGTAATATCGTCCCCATGTCGAGATAAACAGTCCCAGATGTTGACAGTAATATTGTCCCCATGTCGAGATAAACGGTCCCTGATGTTGACAGTAATATCGTCCCCATGTCGAAATAAACAGCCCCAGATGTTGACAGTAATATCGTCCCCATGTCGAGATAAACTGTCCTTGATGTTGACAGTAATATCGTCCCGATGTTTATCGTATCAGAAGTTTGTGGTCAACAATTTGTGGTCGAAATCTTGAAACGATCGAATTTGGTGGCTAAATCTTCTTACAAAAAAGGCATATTCGGAAGATATAATATCGGAGAGTTTATCAAAAACACGACAAAGTCAAGTCAATATTACTTTTAGATACATTAATGATGACCTGTCTTTCTATACAAAGAATTGTATTTACAGTGTTCATCGTATATATACCCATCAGAATTGGAAATCAATGGTACTTCAAAAGTTCTGAAATTTGAGCATTCCTTAGGTTGGACGTAAGATTGAACAGGGAGGGGGCGGGGCTTACCACAAGATAGTCTTGGAAAATGGAATAGAATTATCTATACATAGAAAACAAGATACAATATAAAGATAACTTCAATTGTGATTACGATGTTAACTTTCCACATTTTGATGTGTATAAACGAGTAGCAAAGATAAATACATTTGATACAGGGTCGATAGATGAATATGTGTTTTTATAACGAATTTAGTGTTACAAAATCTATCCATTCATAATCATTTTTGTTCTGCTTAGAAAATCTGATAAACCAAAATCCGGATTTAATAATGAATAAGTAAAGATGACGTCGGTATCCATCAAAGGTTAATAATGAACGGCTATGGGAAACACAGAAAAGTAATTTCTGTCTAGTTACAGGACCAGAGCTGACGAGTTTCGTCCACAACATCGTGATAACTATACTGGCCCTCTTCCAATCGTCTGACGTGCAATCTGAATCAGTTAAAACACCAGTTTAAGTGAACTGTTGATTAGAAAGATTTCATTAGACAAGGTTGTCTCTTTTAACATTGATATGCGAGTTTAAATTTTCTTGTGATGGTTTAAAGACGCCACATATACGTTCTATCAACAAATATATGGGGGCCGATTAACTCTGGGATTACGGAGAAAATTTTACAGGTGAAGAAAAGATAAATACTAGATATATTTTTTGTATATCTGATGATCAAAAATATACTTTACGATTTTACATAGTTCTAAATCACATCACAACAGTTTTTAATTTTTTTACATGGCCTCGATCTTGATAACGGCTTGCCAGCCAAGGACTCCATCATATGATGTGTTTATCTAAATTGAAAGTCGGTTCGAAAGTCTGTTCATTATTCCGGAAGATCCTTAATCCGATATTAATGACGGACTTAAAACATCAGACCGTGAAGAATCAGACCTGATGTACAAGTTGTTCCGTCTGGAAATCTATAACTCCTGGTCTTAAAGCAGTGACGTCCATTGTAAATTCTGTTGGAATTAACATCGTATACCCATCCGTTAAATCGCTTGGAGCGACATGTCCGTGTACGGGATCCACACACGAGGTCCGTGTACGGGGTCCACACATGGGTGCTTTACGCCCCATTTCTTGGCTTATCTATATCGCTAATTTATTGTACACCTGACAGAGTAATTACAAGTTTTATCACTTTATTATAGCCTAGTGCTGCTTCTCCACTGCCCTATCTACTTTCAGCTCTTCAGAGGTCAGAGAACGTGTATAACATAACGCCTTAATTTAAATAATGTTAGTAAACTTTTACTTTCTACTTTAGATCTTATATAAAAGAACTCACAAATTATTTGTAGTCTAATACAACAGGTATCAATTCACCTTACATGCAAATATTTTACAATCAGATTGCATTGTCTACCAGAACAGATCACGTCACCAGTCTAAACAACGCTTTCTAAAACGATAAGCCAAGCAGTAAGCGAAAACTTCAATATTTTAGCAATACACAAAGTGTAGATCCTGAAATATATGAAAATAAGGTGGTTTTTTATCAAATGATGTCGATAAAACAGAAGATATTAACGATATAGCGACCTGTGCGCCTAACTTTTGAATTGTCGTCACTGCGGATTGTAACGGCCGAGGGGTACGATGGAGCAGAGATTAATTTAGCTTATCTACAATACGGTTTTGGCCAGTCGTTGTCCTGACCACAGGAATTATTTCTATAGTCTCCAATGTTTTTAAACACTTCAATCTATCCCCGGCTCTGAAGTGACTGAAAAACGACCGATAACTATTTTACGGTATGTGCGCTTGAAATATTACCCTATATCGTGGTACAGCGAGTTCAATGTTATCCCACCATCTAAAAACGATCTTCACGATATAACCGGATGTGTTTGTCCGGAAGTGGCAATTTCCGGTGACGAACTTGTCCATTACATTTGCACTTCCTGAAGGTCAATCGGCGTCCATCTCCATGACCTTCAAACTGAGGTATGCTAGTTGTATGACACGTGTGGGATTTCATATACCGGTACTATCATTTTTCATGGGCGGCGATGCGTCAACTGCTTTGTAGAGCTGGTTGTAAAGTAGTAGTCTAAAAGATGTATCACCCGCACAGGGAAATAGCTTCACATGTGGCACCGATCTATGTTTTTCACACGACATATATATACAAGGCAAAACAGTCGCACAAAACACCACTGCGAGACTTGGGTATGTTTGTGTTTTGTCGAAATGTATCAATTACTAGGAAAAACAATCGCCTGTGACAAGTATCCACCGCACGGTGTCGTGATGAAAAACAAAAATATCATCCAACAACCAAAATGGTAGACCGAACCAGTTGACGGCCAGATGATGCACTCGAGACTTCCAGGGTGGGGCGAACAAATGGTGCCGTGGAGATTGTATCGTGACAAGCGATAACTATCGGGCGTGTTAGAATTGTATTGGTTACACAACCAGTTCCATTAATGATTAATTCCTCAATTTCAATTAATAATTTGAGGTCCTTAAAACAAGTTTCGAATATAAGACGAGATATCAAGTTGATTTTTGAATCACTGATGTTAGCGTGAGAGAGTAAATAGTGAAATCTTATTGCATTATCACCACCATCCGGTAACACTTGTAAACGTGGACTAGCCTCGCCCATACATGGAAAGTGTACCCGGTACCAGGATAACAAGCCAAATTGAATAAGTGGAAATTCCCGGGGTGTAGGAATACTATATACGTTAGATTTAGCTGTTAACCTCAGCAATCAGACTAAACAAATGGTACGTGTTGAATTGGGCTGTTTTTTGTAATGACATGTTACAGAACTCGACTCCTGTAGCCCCGCACTGATACCCGACAGCCATGTAAAGATATCAACTCAACGAAGGAAACAGAATCAGTACGGTTCGGGAAGTGGTATAAAATAACAGCTACCTAAACACCAGATATTCTGATATATGTGACTTCAAAGTAATTACTGCCAATCTTTCACCCTAAGGTATATAAGCCCAGTTTGAAACGTGTTGCGGAGTCGTCAGGTCTATCTGTGTAAAATGTTTTGTGTTATTATACCTTGTAATCTCGTGTAGTTCTAACTAATGCAGATAATGTTGAAGTCATGAACCAAACCTTGTCATAAAATTGGATAATACCGAAATTGGTCAGTACGTCGTACACTTTATTAGTTTACGGTGTTTAAATTGTACTATGAATTTCTTTAACAACTTCCCCACTATCTTAATTAACCTTTGACGCATCTATAGACCAGTCGTCCAAATTTAGAAACAGATGACCGTGACCACGTGTTTACAGATAAAACATGTTAACTTACCGGAATTCCTGCCCAGAAGGAAGTTTCTCTGATCTTCAAGGATTTTGTAGAAAAGAAATAAAGATAAAATGCCGCCCCAGAAATTGTCGCCCCCACAAGTAACTGAAGGATGACGAGGAATAACTTCAAGGTACAACATTCGTGGCAGAAACCTCGACACGACTGTCGGTCATGGCGACACTTTTTCCTGGGTTTGTGGCATGAGTTGAAGTCTTGTGGGACCAGACTTTGGGGGACAGTCGTGTTGAGGCCGCTTAACATAGACTGTTGCATGTAGAGTCGGAGTTCCGGGGTACTCCGGGCTTGTCGATTGGACCATTTCTGTCCGGGGGCATACAAACTCAGCGACTTCAATGACGACGCGGAATGGGCCCTTTGTCGTCCGTTATCCATGGCAACAGAAGAAGCTGATGGCCAAAAGTATTTTTTCATGGTGATACTCGGCACTTACTTTTCTGCTGCACAGGTTTTGGATCAATATTTGTCAATAACAATCAATCAAAGGTTAACGTTTATGAATTTAAATTCCACTGGAACTGTTGACCGACATATGGCTCGAATCCTTCGGGATATTACCTATTCCTGCTCAGAGAAACCATTGTTAAAATTCGAGTCAGATTTCGATAAGATATCGACATCTATATAGAGAATTCTGTTGGGATAACACGTTTGTCATATTTACCAATTACAACAGAATGGCTATTTCCTAGTTTCCACCGATGACACTTTGGTTAATTAATGTTTGTTAATCAAGACAGACTGCATCCATCTAGAACATCAAAGTACGTCATGTAATCTGCTTGCTATTAATTTTAAAGACTTCACTTTCAGTATGTCTTCTCATTAAACACTTATTGATACGTGGTTCTCCGTTCGATAGTTGTTAGTTGACACATGTCCTTCCGTGTTTCACCTAAACCCAGTTGTCCGCTGACAGTTGTCTTACCGTTAATAACTTCCTCGTTGACACGTATCTGGGTTTCAGAAAGGCACTAACGTATTGAGACGTGTCCGTTGTTCAACAGTCTGACGAATAGTTTCCTCTTTGAACGTATCATATCATAACCAAAAACAAACATTTAAAGATGCCTTTGCAATGACACATCACTAAAGTACATCTTTCGTCAATGACACTTGTCAGTCTTCCAGTATCATTTCCGTGTTGACGTTTGTACCACCTCTGAGGACTACGTGCCCGAGATTCCTACAGCTACTGGCGCACACACAGACTCCCTGTTAGCTGCACGTCTGCTATCAAATAGGATGACTATAAGACATTGTGCTTATTACGTTCTCGCCAGTGTAAAGCTTTCTCGTAGGATACGTAATGTGACGAAGCGTGGATGCAATTTGGGCAATCCAACATTCCTGGCTATTGTAATCATGCAGCATCCGTGTTCGCCATGTGCTGTTAGTGTGGCGTTGTAACATACACCTCCGTATTGCAGTACAGTAATTAACGTCTCTGATAATTATATACTAAATGTACTTGCCTTACTAAATATACTAATTATCATATCAGTCCAGGTCTCGGTGATTAATGTATAATAATCCTGTCCGTGTGGCAATTAGGTAGAGTGGGTCCTATTTAGTCATTACACTTATAGAACTCCATAAAGATATCGTTCCTTTATGAGTCTGCACTCCTTCCTGTCCAAATGATAGAAATCAGAAAAGATACCCTGTAGTAATATTAGGACTAAGGTACGAGTACCCTACTGTATCGATGTGTACCTTCAAGTGTCAGCGTTACACCAACTTGACCGCCTCTCTGAGAGCGATTAAAACTTACCCGTCCTCAGTGAAATAGTTGTGTAATATAGGCACTCGTCATTTTCCGAGTAAAATAAAACCTTTTCCGTGATTAAATTCAAATAGTATATTCCATGGCACTCAAAAGAGTAATCACGCGTAGCAATGTAATCTTGTGTTTAAAGAAAAGAATTTCCATGACCGGAGGTCGCCGTGTATATATGTACGTATGTATACAGAGATAATGCGTGGAGAGTCGGCAGGTTGAAGAATGTAAAGTTTTACGTACACAGCTAAGTATTTCTACACCAGCCACGGATCACCGATACGTCCCCAGATAACACCACAACACTTTCTCCATAACTACCGTCCGTCCCTCCTCAGGCCCGGAATGGTACAACACCGAAGATAAACAAACAGACCGGACACCAGAATCCGTAAAATAAGTAAAACTAGTTAACGCCACATCATACCTATGTAGCCGTGCTGGTGTGTTAAATTATATACAGGTAGGATATACGGCGCAGGTAGAATGTCGCACCTTGAAATACCGGCGTCACACTATGAAAAGAAAAATATAACGATTTTACGACAGCTTGACGGGGAAAAAACGCTATATTTCACGTGTATATATGTATTCGAGTCGAGATGACCACAAAATGTCTGGACCAATGTATGGCTATAAGACACAGTGGTCAGTGGGCAGATCACACTAAAACTTTTGTCATTGTTAACGTATCTTTTAAAGTGTTATAACATAGTAATCACAGGTATGTTGCATCCTTCCATACCTCTCTTGTGAATAACTCAACGGTAGCATAAAAAACCAACCGTTTTCGCTTAAAACGTCTAAGTTGTTTTCCCAACTGCCCCTAGGTACCCTTTCTACCCCCACCCCGACTGACATACATTGTATATATACCTATTTATATTTTTGAAAATGCACATTCTGGACGCTTACGATCGTTTGGTGTTCATAAAACGATAGGCTGGTCAGTCTGAGTCAGGTTGATAAATAAGAAAAATTCTTTGATCTGAAGACCTTGGTAGGTTGATATATCTGACCAGGTCGTACCTGTTTTGTCACAGCTGTCGAGACTAGGTAAATACACCGACATAAAGCCAACATTAATCAAAGGTAGCAGTTAACAACACGATGACTGACATTGATAGGTTCACAAAACATAAAAACATACACACAGAGGGTGGTCATCGAGAATAAAATTTAGGAAACTATAAACAACGTCATGGATAATCCAAGGATTAGCTAAAAAACAACATCAAGGATAATCCAAGGATTAGCTATAAACGACATCACGGATAATCAAAGGATTAGCTATAAACAACATCACGGATAATCCAAGGATTAACTATAAACAACATCACGGATAATCCAAGGATTAACTATAAACAACATCACGGATAATCCAAGGATTAACTATAAACAACATCACGGATAATCCAAGGATTAACTATAAACAACATCACGGATAATCCAAGGATTAACTATAAAAGACATCACGGATAATCCAAGGATTAACTATAAACAACATCACGGATAATCCAAGGATTAACTATAAACAACATCACGGATAATCCAAGGATTAACTATAAACAACATCACGGATAATCCAAGGATTAACTATAAAAGACATCACGGATAATCCAAGGATTAACTATAAACGACATCACGGATAATCCAAGGATTAACTATAAACAACATCACGGATAATCCAAGGATTAACTATAAACAACATCACGGATAATCCAAGGACTAACTATAAACAACATCACGGATAATCCAAGGACTAACTATAAACAACATCACGGATAATCCAAGGATTACGATAAACTTCGTCATGGATAATCCAAGGATTAACTATAAACAACATCACGGATAATCCAAGGATTAACTATAAAAGACATCACGGATAATCCATGGATTAGCTATAAACAACATCACGGATAATCCAAGGATTAACTATAAACAACATCACGGATAATCCAAGGACTAACTATAAACAACATCACGGATAATCCAAGGATTAACTATAAACAACATCACGGATAATCCAAGGACTAACTATAAACAACATCACGGATAATCCAAGGATTACGATAAACTTCGTCATGGATAATCCAAGGATTAACGATAAACTTCATTATGGATAATCACTGGGTTAATGATAAACAACATCACTGATAATCACTGGATTGACGATAAACAACATCACTGATAATCACTGGATTGACGATAATAATCACTGGACATCACTGGATTGACGATGGATAATCGAAAATCTGGATTAACAGTAAAAAATATCGATGATAACACTAACCAAAAAGTAAACTCTCGCGAGGTTGGGGGCAATGGTTTAATTTACATGAACAAGACATAAACATTAGGCCGTCATTTTCAGTTACCGCCCACCGTGCATGTAACATGACTGGTTTAGAATCTATTGACATTGAGATAAAACTGTTGGTGAAACACATGTAGAAATCATTGATCTGATATACAATCCTTTTCTTGTTACTTTCTCGTCGTTTGTTAAAGATTGTTTTTTATGATTGATCAAGTGTCCTACATTTAATTGACGACGCCGGCTGTATAAATATATGTCGATACCAAATAATGTAACGTTCTCAAAAATACAACGGGGGTAATAATAATATTCTAACTATTATCAAACACTTAAAATAGCACATAGGGAAAAACAGGTGTTTTATTTTTTTTTTCAGACAACCGTCAACATAAACACACAAAATCTGAATTTGTCGACTGGGTAACACGTCAGTGAAATTCTGAAGTAACATATGTGCTTGTATTACTTATAGGTCAATTTTCATATATATAATGAAGAGGTAGGGATGATTTGCTAGAGTTTTGCACTATAACCATTACAATGATAATAAACAGAATCTTTAATTTCTGTCCAGGCTGGGCGTCGATCTTTATTGGTCTGTGTTTATATTTATCAAGAGTGCCCTACAAAGAGTTATGTGCCCTTTGCTGAGAAGGTCATGCTGTGAGTACTACATTTCCACAAAAGAAATATTTCTATTCGGAGGTCTGTAGATTTAAGTTTCCATTCTAAGTTTGCATTCATGCAAAATAAAGACAAATTACGACCTTATAGATAGATACCTCCGGCCAGGTCTCCTTTACCCCGACCTAAGTTATAAACACTGATGTATTCCTGTTTCATTACAAGTACCAATGACTGCCGCTGAGAACAGGCTCTGCAATCCGCCTAGATCATACCGTGACCCATGGCCACGTGCACAATATCACACCTTAAAATATAGTTATAATTCGAAACATGTGTTTTACAAGCTAAGTGTGACCCATTAACAAACGTAGTACAAATTGAGACTAAGCACATGGATTTGGGTGTATATATTTGTTACTAATATGTATATATTTGTTACTTATATGTATGTCTTTGTTACTTATATGTATATATTTGTTACTTATATGTATGTCTTTGTTACTTATATGTATATATTTGTTACTTATATGTATATATCTCAACGCTATATTAATAACCTTGATATGATACATCCTTTCATGTACATCAAAGTAAAACGTTTACGCGACATTTATATCAAATAATAAATATCAGTATGGTTTGGAGTTTCTCTTTTTTTCTTTCTTTTAACTTTTTCCTTATATCCTTTTTGATACAAACAATATTCCCTTCTTTGGAATATGTTTTAATTTTTTTTTTGTTTATTTGTTTGTTTTGTTTCCATATTGTGTTATGAGAGTCCTATAATAGTTCTACCATACGTTCCTGGTTTTCGTTTGTTTGTTGTTTTCCGTATTCCTTTATCCCTTGGTTGTTACTTCCATGTGTTGATGTAAGTAGTGCAGTTTCCCAAAAAAGGAAATGGGCAATAGTATAATTCAATAGAAAACATTGCGATATTTGAATGTTTCCTGGCAAACTAAAATTTTAGACTTCCAATTATTTAGTTTAAAATGTCTTAATATTTGTCTACTGACACATTTACCTGTAACCAGGATTTCCTAACATAAACATTATTTTGCCTTGAAAGGCCATTTCAAATTTTATTTCATCCGTCAATTGACTTTGGTTGATGTCAGAATATTTTCAAATGCTATTCTTCTAATCCCAGGTAACATGTTTACGGAAACATGAAAGTGGGGATTCCGTGTCGGTGTATTAAAATCTTGACAATCTATTGGCCAATAAAGTCACGTGATGATTATCTATTTATATATTTTCTATTTTTGTTCGTGTCGTCACAGGATACACCGTGGGCATTGCACAACGACGGGAAAGCTCGGGTATATAAACGTACGTAGTCCCAACAGGGTGTGAGAGGGGTCGGTAAATCAAAAGACAAGAGGGCAAACGACCGATCTGTCCGGACATCTTCTTAGACTGTAGCAGAGACAACTCCAGGTACGTAATTCATCAATTTTATAATGACGATTTGATACGAAGTCCACGGGTAAACAAACCGGTGAAACCGCCCATCACAACATGCATGGTACCATATGTGAATATTTCAGTCAGGGTTGTTAAGCGTGATATCTGATAAAACTGCTTATATTTCATCCTACGGATAGGTAGAAAATTATATTATAGACGTTACTAACGAGAAAACGGAAAAGACACAACCTTCCAGCTGGGGCCGTACGAGTTACCTCCCTTCGTACCTGAATGGTTCACCTCGTATGGCCTATCCGTCCCAACTGAGGGCTAGGCTTTACTCGATAAACTTCGCAGTTCAACTGACCAACATATTCTTTTTAATGGAAAATAAACATTTTAAAAAGCGATTTGATATGGTAAAATACATGTACCTCCAGTGTTTATGACTTGTTTATGATGTCGGTCACTTTCATTATTCGATTGTCAGTAATTTTCATTGAATCATCTCTTGTGCACTTTAGCCAAGGTTAAGGTTAAAACTAATTTAAGTAAGTCAGACCATCCAGTAATGTATAGTGCAAAGCATACCCTTATTTTAATTAAATATACACTATACAAATACCAATTAAGCTATGCGTACACATACTCTGTTTTCTTAATAAACTCAAATGTAAGAATAAGCAGGCCATATCGCAATAATTATACAACAGTACGGACAAGACAATATAAGAATGTCTTTACAATTCAGGGAGGTATATCCATCGAATCCTCCTGTATTTTCAATTTATTATTACAGATAACCTGGAATCTAGTTCATTAGAGTCTTGTTCGGAGTCTTCAAAGAATATGGCGGCAGCCGGAAGTTCTTCTGAAACTACTGAGACATCCCAGAAGGTGGAGGAAAACAGTGACGTCCAGCAGTTGGAAATTAACACAGTGAAGCAAACTTTTACTGGTCAGTGTCGCGTGCTGACCAACATAGGCGAACACCGACATATTGTAACTCTTGTGCCAAAGGACAAGGACCTTGTGATTAAATTCCAGCTGACAGGTAAACTGACATGCAACATTGAAGCTCTAGATGCATTCATATTTCACCAATAATGTTTGAAAGAAAAACAAACCTTGAGGTGTGAAAAGTTGTATTGGAAATGAATTCTGTCAGAAATATAGTGTTGTTTATCTCCCTTTACTCACTGTAACACTCATAACCAGACCTGTTTGCATTTACCTATACTGACAATTTTATTTATTTATTTATTTTACAGCAAACTATCCAAATGACGCACCAGGGATTTTGATCAAATCTGCAGTTTTGGATGAAGAAGAGGTTACCTCCCTTCAGAATCACCTTCAGGAGAGAGCGGAACAGATGAAAGGAGCGGGGATCATACTGGTCCTTGCTGCTGAAGCTCAGACGTGGCTTGAAGATCAGGGAATCATTATAGAAGAAAGGATTCAAGAAAACAATTCAAAGAAAACAAATAGGTATAACACTAAAGGAAGTGGGGAAAAACAAAAACGGAAGAAACGCAAGGAACAGATAGAAGAAAAAGAAACCGAAAACGTGAAAAAGGCAGCCATGAAAACAGCAGAAGATGTAATTAAACGTATACAATGGGATGGACAGCTGCCCCAGGACGAATTTATTGTTGGATATATTGACAGGTTCACAGGAATTCAGGAAAAGTACTTTGATTCCTTCAGCTGGGAAGACATTGCTTCTGTAGACTACACCGTACTAGCAATTCCCAAACATAGGATTCAATACTTCAAATATCGCGACATAAAAATCTGGGATAAAAATGACAGATTGGACAACGTTTTCGGGTCTTTAGGAAGTAAAATTACTGTTTATGATGTCATTAAGCAATGTAAAGAAGAGGAAAAGGCAGCGAAAACAAATGCAGATGGAAAGGAAGATGTTGACGATGATGACGATGAGGAGGATGACGATAGTGATAGTGATGATGGTATTACTGTTTCTCTTGGTGCCTCTGCAGACCCAACAGGAGAAGGAAATAATTTTGAAGACGATAATATGTCGGATGATGAAGAAGGATATGATAAATATTGGCGAGACAAAATGAGGCCAAATCACTTCGTAGCCTTGAGAATTTCTAATGAAGATATCAGAAATACTGCAGAAGACATACAAAATATCATCCTTGAACATGAGCCACAGTACCATGAATGTTGTATTCCTCCTAACGCCCTCCATATCACTCTGTGCACCCTGGGACTCGACACACCAGAACAGGTTGCAAATGCTGTCCGAGCCATGAAAAAAATTAAACCAGAGCTAGAGACTATTGTTCCTAAAGATAAACCGATTGTGATGAAAGGTATCGAACAGTTCTTCAATCGTGTCCTCTATGCTAAAGTTGAATGCCCTCCAGAATTTTATCAGTTTGTGGAACATTTGAAATTGTGTTTAAAGGAAGAAGGTATAGATATCCGTGACAACCATGACTTTGTTCCTCATATGACGGTGATGAAAATCACCCGTCCTGTTGCCAGGGCAACTGGTAAAAAGTACATATCACCGTGGTTGTACTCGGGTCAAGCTGAAGTGGACTTTGGAACACAGGTAGTGGACAATGTCCATCTGTGTGAAATGGGATTTGGTCGTCAGGACGACGGTTTTTACATGACACCGGCATCAATTGATTGGTAAAGAAACGTATGGCAAAGGATTCAATATGCACGTGTAATATTAATGAAAAGTTAACAGATGGAAGCCGGAAACCATTTTTATTAAAGTCCTTCGTCAATGATTACAGTTTCACATCAGAAAATGCCATTTCCAGATTAACATTCTTATTTTCAATATGACAACTTACCAAAGTTCTGTGATATCTAAAAACCGAAAAATTATATCTTTTTTATTAAGTTTAATAAAATTGGTTTTGTTAATTATAACTGCTCATGTTTTTTGTTCACTACAAACGACAGCCTGCCCATGAACTATGTATGCCGGCTATGTAGTTTGCAGTTTCACTGCACGAGCCTTCCTGGTGGCCAAAACTGTTGCTGGAAACAAAGACATGGTGTTACTCTATTTTTAGAAACTGTAGGAAAAAAGTGAAAGTACATGGCATTAGAAATGAAACATTGATTTCCACGAAAAATAAAGCACCAAGATGTTTTTGGTAAAGCCCTTTTGAGTATGAATCAAAATTTCATCGGGAACGACCAGGTGATAGAGTTAATAGTGCCAAGCTTTCGCCTCGGGCAGATCTGAAAATACAGGTGCCCATTGACGATATCAAAATTTAAAATGAGATATATACTAGAAAATTTCAAACAAACAAAAAAGCGAAATTAAATATAAAACCCAATGGTCGCTGTTGTGTTTAATCTGTAAAGTTTTATCATCATGAACATACATTGAACATAAGAGATGACATGGTGTTATAACAATGCCTTGATCTACACTATCAAGTAGGGCTCTGTGTCACCAGTGCTATCATGTAACTCCTCTGAACAAGTTTAAAAAAGGGACACTCACTTCTATAGTTAGTTTATAAAAATAAGGTATATTGAAAGAAAATACATTTATATTCAAGGTGTAATTTTGCTGGGAAAGATCGCGCGAACCGACAATTTTTTTGGCCCAATGTTATTTCATTTTTGTCAGGATTTTGGTATCTATACCAGGTTGTAGTAATTTTTGAGGATATCCGATTTCTGTCGGATCTCACTTTATTGGGTTAAACTGCCTTAGAGTTGGTACAGGTGTGTGGTGTGAGTCAAACTAGCAACTTTGACCACCGGTAAAAATAACACATACATAAGATCTGATTTCTGATAATTTGTATCTAGACCTAACTTTTTGAAATTAACTATCTGTTAACGTTGATTGAGACGAATACCCAACTAACATTAATGCGAAGTAAGATGTACCAACCGCCTGGAAATGGACCTGGAACGATTATAAATGACAACATCTGCATATCAGAATCAAAACTGCCTGAATCCTAGTTGTTTGGGGTTCTAAGTCTTCTCAAAACCAACGGTCTTACGAAGATGATTCATATTACAATCAACGTTGTTGTCGAGCCTCCTCAAGCTCTTCTACACATCTAAAAAGCTAGTACCTAACACCTTTTCTCAGACCAAACTTCCTCCACTCATTTGGTCAGAATACGCGGTTGTGTCTGATCAAGATGGCATGACATGTGACGGTCCTCCCGTCTGCTGTTCAGTGATGTGGCTACCAGCCTGTCTCAAATTTACCTTGACTGTCCACGAGGGCGATTAACCCAGCAAACAAAAAGAAATCATTCACTCTTTCATGCTGATCGCATCTTCCCTGTTGTCATTAATTACCAGACTACCGCCTATACGCATAGGAATTGACACAAACGTCAAAATGTTCCGACATTTTGGTTAGTTTTATCGCGAGTTCTAACTAGAAGATTCTAATTCGTGTCTCTATGATAATTTATATTTGAACTCGGATGATTAATGATGATAAACTGGCGTTCCTTGTTAATTTCTAATTTAAAAACATACACAAATCATGGGAGCCTTGGACTACCGTATCTGCACTGTTATCAGAGTTCCTGGTTAGAATACAGGCCCGGTGTGCTACAGTTCTTTTGCTATCACTTTTCGGTCACCCTTTAACACTGAGCAGTGGCTCGATGTATATTTTTGATTGTCGGTAGTCCCGTTTTAGATATTTCATTTAGTTAAGATATACACCTGTCAAACCCATATATGACTCCAATGATTCAGGTATAACATGTAAAACATTGATATTAATCCCTACACAGTGGTTTATTTTCCCATAGCGCCTCAACGCCTGGTCCACGTGTGTTGTCACACACCAATTTTCTCGCAGATATAATGCCATCGAAATTTATTTAACTACGTCATGTATATAGTTTGGTGTGGTTTATTGGACATAAAAGATTTCACGGTAGGTAATCAAGCCATTGATACTGACCTAATATTAAAAAGTTACGCCATTTTCATGAGATTAAATTGATTTAACTTTATCCTGTGGTCTTTGTTCATGTCTGTATATGATATCTCTTAAATATGCATTTCATACCATTGATATGCGTCAATACGATTTTCACCGTGACACATGTAGTGAGCTTCCATTTAAACAATGTAGATGAATTTTGTATTGTGTATTGACTATCTTGTTTTACAGGATTTCTAGACATGATAAAAAATAACTTGTGTGTGAAATACTAGAAATGAGAATTTCAATATCTAATTTCATATTTTATAAATAATTTAAACACAAATTGACAACTGTTAAATTTTCAAATTCACGATTCCGGAACTCGATGCCAAATTGAAAATGGGAATAAGTAACTCGATAGTTTAATCCTTTTTTTTTCGTCTCCTTTTTTATTTAAAAAAAAATGTTTTTAACATTTATGACAAAGACTTTTCTAACTTTCTCACGTGCTTTCAACGGTGACCAATTGTATAGCGGAATGATGTTAAACCTCATTAAGAACAAACAGTTGTTTGATAACGTTTTTGGTTATTGTTTTGTAAGTAGAATTAATAATGTGTGGATCTTAAAAAACTCCAAAGAGATTTTGACCAATTTTCAACACTTTCTTCTAAAACATCTTGTTTAATAACATTTAAGTTTTCCGTTCCGTCCACCACCATACCCTATCCTAAACTGAAAAAAACGTCTTCGATCTCCAGTTAGGAGAACTTTCTTTTCCAAGAAAGTTGAACGAAGTTACATATGTATTTCGTGAAACTACGTCAAATTTATAGAAGAAATATCCGGAGGACGAAATCATACAAATGATCGAGTTTCTGGTTGACAACATGTTCGTCGAGTTTGGTGGTTAGATCTTCCAACAGACACTTGTTAAACCTATGGGAACTAACTGGGCCCCTCTGTTGACTAACTTTTTTTGGTTTTCATTCGAAGGTCGCAAAGACCTAGCAAAGTCATTTATTTTCACTTTCATATAAACTAATGACTTCTTGCCATTAAATAACAAGATATGTCTTAACCACTTCTATAGTATATACCCACTAGAATTGAAAATCAAGGACACGACAGTTTTTTTGTCCGTCAGCCGTTTATCTCGATCTTTTTTTAGATACAATTGAACGAACATGGACAGCTTCTCACCAAGCTGTAAGATAAGCGCAATGGTTTCAATTTCGCTACTGTGAATTTTCCATTTCTGGATAGCAACAATCTTGCATCCCCAACCTCTGGTCTTTACATATCAGAGTTGCTCCTATATTCAAGGCCTTTTTTCCATTATTGATATGACGCTGGACGTGTTTGATGCTCGTTAATTTGCCTGTTGGTTACGTTGTTTTTCACCTTGTTCTCATTTGAGAAGTTAGTTTATTTATTTGGATTAATCAATACTTACGTGGCGGTGTCGTTGATGAAGCAGAAGACGCTTACTCTTCCGGAACGCATGGTCTTATTTTCCTTATCCTTTTCCATGAGTCTCCGTGTGTTTGGATTATGGTTATGGTTATCTGTTGGTATTTTCTTGATGTTTTTGTAGACGCGGTAACCGTTTATGAATCAACAGAAGCAAAAAAGGCTACACAACTCTATGTCTTGAAAAACCGTATTGAAAACGATATCTCTCCAGATGATGAATTTGATATTTACCAAAGTTTTCTCTCTATTATTTATTCGAACGGATACAATGTAACGATGCGATCGCTTGTTATTTGATAGCTGCAGTTGTGTCTCTGTGATTTCGTTCTAATATCAAGAATTTATAAACTCTACGTAGTCTTGTTTCAAAAATAATTCAAGGAATAGCAAATACGTCTCAGTCAGAGAGAGAGAGAGAGAGAGAGAGAGAGAGAGAGAGAGAGAGAGAGAGAGAGAGAGAGAGAGGGGGGGGGGGGGGGGGGGAGGGGTGGGGCTTGGGCTGGTAAAACCGTAGTTAAGGGGAAATGTTTATTTTTCCGATTTTACCCACGTTGTGTGGACACTCTTGCATGTCCCCACAACTGGGGTCACTTTAATCACACTGAAACTCCATGGAATGTCAAGAAAAATATTTCTTTTAATGTATCAACAAACTTACTATCACAATAGTGCCCGTAAAATCATATCTTCGACTTCTCTCTTCTCCGTAACTGATAACAGTGGCGTAGCGAGGCCTTCATTCAATTGCATGCTTGGGGGTGCAGGGGCGGCAGCTGAAGGTATTTTGATTAGATTAATAAACGAGAAAAAGAAAACATGTTTTCTCGAATTTTATTCTTGCATGCTTGAGCATGCAAGCATGCACGGACGCTACGCCACTGGATAAGGACATGTATCGTTTCCATGAGGACATCGGTTTGATGTCCTCGCACCCACGAAGATAAATATGTTTGAGATGGGTGTCACAGTCTATACCAATACAAAGACGACTTCTCACAGCTTCTTTTGGTACAGAAACGACGTGTCACACGATATACTGATACAGAGACGATGCCACACGATATACTGATATAGAGACGACATGTCACACGATATACTGATACAGAAACTACCTGTCTCATGATATACTGATACAGAAACTACCTGTCTCATGATATCTTGATACAGAAACTACCTGTCTCATGATATACTGATACAGAAACTACCTGCCGCGTGATATACTGATAAGAGACGACGTGTCACACGATATACTGACACAGAGACGACGTGTCACACGATATACTGACACAGAGACGACATGTCACACGATATACTGATACAGAAACTACCTGTCTCATGATATACTGATACAGAAACTACCTGTCTCATGATATACTGATACAGAAACTACCTGTCTCATGATATACTGATACAGAAACTACATGTCTCATGATATACTGATACAGAAACTACCTGTCACACGATATACTGATACAGAAACTACCTGTCACACGATATACTGATACAGAAACTACCTGTCTCATGATATACTGGTACAGAACCTACCTGTCTCATGATATACTGATACAAAGACGACGTGTCACGTGATATACCGATACAGAGATGACGTGTCATATGATATATTGATGGAAAAGCGAAATGTCACATGATATACAAAATATAAATATAAATATATATATATTTATACAGCGACAACCTTTTCACATGATATATTGATAGTCAGACGAGGTGTCACGTGATATACTGATACAGAAACTGCACGTCAGTCAGTAATTATGCAGAGACGACGTGTCACGTGATATTGATACAGCGACGACCTGTCACGTGATAAACTGATAAGGAGACGACATTTCACATAATTTGCTGTTACAGAGACGAGGTGTCAAGTGATATACTGAGACAGAAACTGCACGTCACAGTCTATATTGATACAGAGACGACGTGTCACATGATATATTGATACAGAGACGAGGTGTCACACGCTACACTGATACAGATACGACGTGGTTTAACATGATAAATTGATACAGAGACGACGTGTCACATGATATAATGATACAGAGATGACGTGTCACATGATATAATGATACAGAGACAGTCTATACTGATAGATGATATGTCGTATTTTATGTCGTGCTCAAAGTGTCGTATACACAACTAAGAGAGTTTCTGAACCAGTCCCTGAGAAGTAGCGGCAGATCAATCCTATATATCGCGTTATGCTTTTCTCAGAGGAAACTACATTAGATCACGGACTTTTCTGTGATGTCAAGATTGTGTTCTATCATACGACGGGCCTCGCTCATGATGTCCAGTGAGTTAACCACCAGCTGTTACAAGGTGATCCCGCCTTTAAAATGACTCCGGGCTTTCGAAAGAAATATTCTGTTATGAAAAAACAATTATATTACGTTAGCCAATTCTTTTGTATATGAAAACGAAGAAAAAATAGTAGTACAAATATAGGTTTATATATAGGGTTAGGACAATAAGGGGGAGGATTTATTGATTTATTCATTTCCGTTCTCTCTCTCTTTTCCCTTAACCAGGTCGACGTTCTGTTTTGGAATGAAAGATTTCATTTGAAAACTATTCAGTATACTTCATAGTGATAATATACTTACGACTGTAACATCGTATGACTTTAACAAATAATTTTGAAGAGTAACAAAAATAAATAAAAACCTCGAACTCTACGTTTATTGTGAGATTCAAGAAGATAAAGGATTTATAAACCATCTTGAAATACTTTTTTGGTCTCTCTCTCTCTCTCTCTGTCCCCCCCCCCTCTCTCTCTCTCTCTCTTCAAATGGGGCAAGCAAACGACGCTTTGTATCAAGTGTTTACCAATAAAGATTACAAAATATTTGAAATTGTTGGATGTACTTGTATGAAAGTAAGAAGATTATTGATTATTTTATAACATTGGCTTTGGTGACATACGGGAATTTCAAAAGTGTAAGTTTATTTGAAGATGGTTCCGTGATGTGATGACTATGTTACGATGGTGAAAGGTCTTTACATGGGCAAAAAATACTCTTTATGATATGAATTTCATTCTAATTTCAAACCATATCTTGCAATGATCAGAAAATGTATGTAACTTAAGAAAGATCTGAACAAGATGCCAGAAGAAAGCTCGTTTGCAAGTTTGAGAGACGAATGCGGTGTATTTCATCAGAATGCTTTATAAAATCTGCAGTCCGACTACATATAGAAACAAAATGTTGGTAATTCGAATAAAACTTGAAGAAAGGAATATTAAAAATGAAAGAATATTTCTAAAAGTACCATATTATTATCACATAAAGTCCATCGATACATATATTGATGGAGCAACTTAAAATCTATAAGCAAAAGATATGAATCAGAACTATTGGTATACATTGTATAATGTCCAATTCATTGAAAAGCTTGACATATTGTCAAACATATATACCTAGGTGTAATTAAAAGTTCAGTTTGAATTTTTAACGTTTAAAATGCGATTTGAATAGTAACATAGCTATTCAAAACCGGTATTGTTATAACATTAGTTATCAAGTTATATGAAGTGACAAGAACAAATAGTGTCCTGAATCTGTGTTAGAATAATTTCTTATTATTGATATCATATTTTGATATACAGAAAAGTGTAATATGATCGTGTGTGAAGATTATTTTGTCTTTAGCAACCATACATCTTAGCAGGTGCTTTCTTTGCGACATCAAATGAAAACAATCTTGTTTACGGCATTGACGCATGCGCATGCGTAATGGTAATGTTGTAGTACAAATGTTTTAAAGTATTCCAAGGCGGAAGACCGACATTTATCGTCAATTACTACCCTAATGTGATGTTTATTTGCACAATGGAGGTTTAAATAGCGAGGATAATGATTCATGGAAGCAGCGGCATGGGTATACATGGAAGAATATCGGTATGATTGTTAATCCTACCTCGGATAGGTGGGCGACTTTCCAATGGGCTTCGTATGACGGGTGTCCTTTGCATTTTGTCGCTAATAATTTGTGTGAAGTTTTAAAACTTTCAAGCAAATGCAGTTTCTGAAAAGTGCTCCTATATACTCGAAGCGTCATGTCGCGGCCTAATGCACAACATGACCAGCCCCCTCCAGTCGCTCCTAAAACTCGAAAGGAGTCCAAACATTGGAGCCAGCGGATACAAGAAACGGTGGTATCCGCTGTGCCAGAGGAGGGACTGGGGGTAACTATCACGGGCGGGGCGGATAACGGGCAGTTCTGCTGCATAAGTGACATTTCACACGAACAGTTGACGTATCATAGTGGTAGGTTACATGTTGACGAGATTTTGTTGGAAATTCAAGGACAGAAAATAGCAGGATACACTTTGAGAGATGCAACCATCTGGCTCAAGCAAGTTAGCCAAAATGGGGCACCTGTTATGATTAAAACTGTCAAGATTGGTAAGTATAGAAAGAGTGTATGTGATGTAGAAAAAATTCAATTTTTGGTATATTTCTCTTTGTGTCTAAAACCGGCAAACACTAGCAATTGTTTTGAACGGTAATAGTGTGTTTATGTTTCCGACATTGGACCCCCAGCAATCACAATGAAATTACTGACCCGTAACAGGACTTGTGTTTCACAGTGTATTGAAGCACTATAGATTTTAAAAATAGACTGAATGCATCTGACATTCTTGAAATATCTGTCATGAAATAAGGTTTGGATGTTCATTTCTTTAAATTACTATTATTGTTGTTACACGTTGTCATTGCTGGTCACACCAGTGTATAATAGTGTCTGTTTTAGGTCATAACAAGGACATTTTGAAATGGTTGATTATCTGTGGCGTACATTTATTTAGTATATTTCATTGATGTATGGTAGAGGGACTGTTCAAAAGTACTCTTTACACTCATCTTCTATTTCAAAACACAGATATTAAATGAAATCCATTCTGTTTCTTATTTTTCAGAATTAAATATAATTGATATGTTTGATAATTATTGTCTTTGGTGATTGATGTTTTCATTGAAATGTAAATGTTGTTAAGACACCTATGGGTAATTTGTTATCAATGAAGTTTGTTATAGGTGTGAATTGCCTGATATTCATCAGAGATTGAAGACCCTTTTGTTTTTGCCACACATATTAAAAACAATATGAAGATCCAGAACGGAACTAATTCACAAAATGAAATGAACGTGTTCAATAACTAGAGGACAAATTTTAGAATTACAAAACTGCACAATCCCTGAATCCATATGACATTTCTTCACAAAGATCCAATATATCAATACAAGCAAATGGATTAATTAATATGATTCTGGAAATTTACATGATTCTCTAAAAATATTTCTGAAATGCATGAAAGTTGGTTGAAATAAACATGATTTAAAATCTTCAAGTTTGTTTAAAAATTTGTTGGTGATATAAAAGTGAAAGATTAAACCAATAAAAATGAAATCACTACATCAGCATCCTTTTGCACAAATTAAATATGTTGACTCTTAAATTTTGTTGAAATTATTGTTTTTTGTGTCTCAAGACTCATATCAAACAATGACACAGTCTATGGGTTAGATGAATTATACAAATCATGTTTTAAACACTTCACTTTCCTACTTGAAAGTTACCAAAAAAATCAAATTTATCTTAAAATGTTACCTTTAATTCAAATAGTCAAAGTTTTCCATAATTCATGTTAAAATGATTCTCACTGTAGCAAGTTATCTCTTTTTGTTGCACCTGCTTTCATATTTTGTAAATGCATAATTATATTGTTATGTTTTGTTTAAGTGACAGTTGCAAAGCTAATGAGCAAACATTGATGAATGATATCAATATCCTTCTAAAGGTACAGGTCTTTACTGTACTGGTATGAATTTACATTCCAATAAACAGATACCTATGTAAGTTGTTGATCTCCTTTAATGTATGATGATTGACAGCTGGGTACACATACCAGGTAGCTGAGTGTCTCTAGACATGAGCTAATGAATCCCTGTATATACTATCCTGATACAAGAATATTTATTTGAATTGCACAACAGTACAAATGTAGCAAAACAAAGCTTGGACTTAAAATCTCCTCAAATCCTGTATAGAGTGTGATCCATCCTCATCCTTTCAATGTGTGAGGTGGGATCAAAGACACTTGTGTACTATTTGTTGTCTGATGTTGACTACATATCCCCTACCACCCTCCTCATCTCATGATCAGGTAATTACCTAATGCAACAAAGAACAATGTACAAGTGTGTACTGTTTATTGTTTTTTGTATGTAGGAGTCAGATCATGATCAGGTCATTTATATAATGGACCTTATGGACCCTATGTGTACACTAGGTAGTATATGGTGATATGTACCCTTACGTATAAGGGGACTGAACATGCAGAGGCAGTAATCACTCTTTCCCCTCCTGACCCATTGTTCTTATAGGATTCATTCATTGTCTCCTCCTTCTTGCTTATGCTTAGGATCACGCCATTTTAAGGGATGTATTCTTCTGGTCAAGCTGGACACTCAATCATGTAATAGAGTTAAAAAAAACGGTCTGAGACAATGTCCATTCATGAGGGAAGATTGAACTATATATATATCTTAAAGTAACAAAAAATTGTTCTACACCAGTGTGAAGAGTTAAGATGGTGGCAGTGATGATGTAAAAATGCATATCCAAACAATACTGATTAGATCTTGAGATAAAATCTATTAATTTGTTTCCATTTCTTGGAAAAATGATGACCAAGTGACAAATTTTTCATTTTAGTTGTTATTTATTTGCTTAAAAGAAAAATACTTGAGCTGTTTAATGATTATTTAAATTCTCATATCAAATGATGACTCTTTTTTCATTGAATGTGTCATAATGTGTGTGATTGATATATACATTTTTAAAAACAGTGCAATTATTGTGCATTGCTGACTCTTACAAACCTTCTTCTTCAGCTCTGGCAGTTTATGTGACATTAGCTGTATACATGCTTACTTGTACTGTATAACCACAATTGACAATAAATATTTACATATTCAACTGTGTAAAAGTAGAAAAAATGTGTGTATGCTGTATAAATGTACTCTTGTGTTTTATTTTTAAAAAAAGTACAAGTTTGAACACAAAATTTTCTCTCTGTTTTACTACAGGTATGTTACCAAGAGACCTGCGACAATTTTTGACAACAAGGTTTCAGAAAGGCTCCGTCGATCACGACCTCCAACAAACTATCAGAGACAACTTGTATCTACGTACCGTCCCTTGTAAGTGATTATATAATGTAGTACTTGAAAAGTAAATCTTGGTGAAATTTCATTTCAAATAATTTCACAGGATTATGAAGGAATTACGTAGATCTTTAAAAGTTCAAACTTATATTATGTTGATCATGAGGAATTGAAGATTCAAATGTCTTTTCGTTAAATATTGATGCTGAAAAGGATTTCTTGATTGTTGATTCATCAGTGTATGCACATGCTTACTCATGAGTAAATGCAATCTGATTGGTTGATTTGGTGGCACATAGGTAACACCTTTTTCACCTAGGTGTCTGAGATTTGATTCCAAGAATGGATGTGAAAAGGTATGAGGTCACCTGCCTGACAATGTGGGTTTCCCCACAGAAAGTCTCTTGTGCTTCCATTCAGAGCCAACATAACTGATTATTATAAGGTGTAAAACATGCTTTGCAATTGCTTTAAAGGCAAATGAAGTTATATTTCTGATTCGTATAATGTTTGTTTCTTACTAGGTACTACACGTCCTCCTAAACCAGGGGAGGTCAACGGAGTAGACTATACCTTCCTCTCATTAGAAGAGTTCCAGGAACTAGAGCGCAATGGTAGTCTCTTAGAAAGTGGTAATTATTATGGTAAGTAGAACTCAGTGTTACTTTAAATGAATATTTATAATGACCATACATATGTTGTATAGCTATATAGTTGTTCATCAGTTTAATGAATTATGATAGAATCCACTTCATGCTTTGTTATGAACTCCCACAAAGTTCACAAGAATTCTATTATAAGGAATAGTATTTGTGAATTAATCCATGATGAATCCATTTGTCTTTCTCAAATATTAAAACATCATTCGAAATATGCTTTATTTGACTACAAATAAATCTCTCCCACCCAGTCTTATCCCTTTATCATCTCCATGTTTTAGGTCACAATATCATGCAAAAACCTTTCATCATTACTAGGAATATCTAATTAAAGAACCAATTGCAAGTGTTCTACTTTTGTTTTGTGATGCAAAGCAACGACTGAACTTCTCACTTTCTCTCTTCTGATTGATACCTGTATGAGTTGAGGGTTAGTCTTAACACTTGTTGTAGACACAACCAATCTAATTATTCTTTACCAATTCTCCACATGTAGGAGTTAACTTGATTTTTCTTTTGTGGTTATTGTTTCTTAACATTGTCAACATGGAGGAATTCTTCAACAAATGTTGGTGTCTTATTTTGTCAAAATCATCTACAATTGTTAATCAAGAAAGTGTACAATCATTTCAGAGTAGTAGGCTCAGGGAAATTATAAGTCTCCTCCCAACCTTTCGTCAATCTTTCTTCATTAGCGGAGAGGGATGTTTTGAAATATGAAATATGGTACTTCCATGTTTGAAATCTCATATTAACATTCATGGTGGTATGGTCAGTAATGATGCATTATGTATATTTTGTTATTAGTGTTATTATTTTGAATAAATTCAAGGTGTTTCTTGTGCACTTATTACACCATGTTGAATCAACAAAACTTTGTCAAAGCTGCTGCATTATCAGCCATGAAAATGTACACATTCTTTAAGTACACCAACCACAGAAAGACGCTTGATTAGTAAATCTGTAATGACATTTTCAAGCTTGTCAAGGTCATTGAAATTGTAATGATTTTATTAGCTCACCTGAGCAGAAGGACCACTGAACTTATGCAGTGATGTGTTGTCCCTCAGTCTCTTGCCTATATTTGCATTTAAAGAACTTTTCTCAACCAGTAATTACTACAAGCTAGATCATAGTATAGAGAAATCTGATAGACAGTACATATCAACCTGTCTTTTAAAATAGAGTGAATCTTAACAGGTTTTTCATACAAAAATAAGGCGTTCCCTTCACTTCAGTTTTAGGCTTAAGAAAATAAAAGAAATTCTCTTATTTGGTGATTTGATAAAAGTTGACCCATGTTTGGGATCAAACATACCATTGCTAATTTGCTGTAGGCCATTTGCTTACTGAATTTATCACTCCAGGTAATATTTCAAGAAAGATTTTTAATGTAATATAATGCATCAAGATAAAAAAAATGCAATTGTTTCCATTTGTTCAATGATCTCCTTTATGTTTATGTGACATTAGCTGTATATTTGCTTACTTGTACTGTATAACCACAATTGACAATAAATATTTACATATTCAACTGTTGTAGATTAGAGTGTAAAATTTGTCCTGGTTTTTACGCCTCTGTGCACAAGCCTGACCGAATCTGTTGTTACACTTACTTCTTTGGCTGGTACCACACTTCTTCATTGTATGTCTAGCTTCCAGCTATGTTTGTATGTACACTGGAAGAAAATATTATAACGAGAGAATATCTTCAGTGTACTTTTTATGCTCTATATTGTGTGTATATCTATAAAACAAGACAAAAGGAAAGCTAGAGGTTCAGGGCTATACGTGCACCCTTACAAACTTCTTGGGGTGGATTTGTAAATATGTCCATTGTAACTGATATTGTTATTTTGAGTTGACAACAGTTTGGTATTATACTTTGACTATCAATGGGACCTCTGTCTGGTTAACTTTAAGTTGAAATTTCATAAACAGCATGCATTAATGTTTCTATTCAAGTGTTTTTTTATCACTGGATTTTTCATCTTAGATTTAAGCAGAATTGCAATGTTAACTTAGGATATAATTCATTTCATTTTGACATATTCAATTATATGAATAAACTTACAATGTAAAAAAGAACTTAGACACTATGAAAGCTTGAAATTCTAGCTATCTTGTAGAGGTGAATAGATCGTTTGGATTGGGTCTCATTGTTTTTCAGTCTCATTGTGGTCACAAAAAAGATTTTTTTAATTACTTGAGAAAGAAAGACAGGGAAGAGCCTACCTCTTTGCTACTTGACAATTACCTGTCTCTGTAAAGTGTTGTTATGTACTAGTTCTACACAGGTGTTACTACAGGATAAAGTATCATGTAAAGCGTTACCTTTTTGCAATCAGGAACTTTGTGTAGAAGACATTTTCATTAACATGTAGGATTCTGTGTCAGATGTTACAAACTGCTTTTGGGAGTTTTTCCTTGCTGCAGGGAAGATTCTCACAAACCTTTGCTCTCTGGAAACATGTCGGTTTTAGTTTTTTATGTTACAGGTAAGGAAAGCTTGGGGTTGTAGAAGGTGCCTCAGATAATGTCAGACATGTTTTGTGTAGAGTTCATGAATTATACATTTAGAGAAACAGTGTGGTTTTAACAAGGTGTAAAAAAGTGCAATTATGAAATTTTATTTCTCCTCAAATAGAATTTAGAATGTATTGTATATCAAAGGTAAAACTAAACCTGTGCATCAGGTGGTATAAGACAGGTATAGATAACAAATTTAGTTAAATAGAAGGAGGGATATGCTGGAGCCAATAACAAGGTGGACTTACTATAACACAGGACAATGAACTAGCATTGGACAATCCATTGGTTTATAATATAACTTCACTGTCATATAGATATGTAGCCATCTTACCAGGCATGCATTTGAACATGATGTAATTTAATAAAGACACAAATTTATAAAACTTGTCAATACTTAAATATAATTCATGTCTAATAATTAAGCATTACACGTTGCTGGTCAGTCCATACAAAATTATACTTGTGACAATGAATTAAAATTTGAACAATAAGAGTGAACATTGCCCAAAATCATGACCAAATGTCTAAAAAGGTTCTTGCAAGGCAGGAATGTACTGATGGGTAATGGCATTTTCTGAAGAAAAAAAAATAATGATATGATTATCTTTTAAAACAATTACTGTACATGTTAATTGACTATGAAGAAATCACAGGTTTTATATTTTTCTTCATAATATTTGATCTCACAACAAAGAAACAATGCGATTGTGTATTGGCAGAAGTTAGTGTTGACATATATCATGCTGTGTGGAATGAGACTTGTGTCATGAGTAAATGTTTGTGAAAATCCCTGACTGATACATTGGGATAGAAGTTAATTGAAACTTGATTTTTGACAATATACATGCCAACGTCCTGTGGTCTACATATAAATTGCTTGTGATTCAGAGCTGGCACAAGCACAACATGACGGGATGATGTGAAAGAAATCACTAAATAAATGCTAATTACGTGACATGTACCATATTTTCTGGGTTATAAGCTGCACTAGTATATAAGCCGCAAAGCCACAATTTTTACAGATTTTAAAATTTGATAAGCCGCACACTTTCTTACGATATGGTGACCACTGTTGTTGAAGTTTGATATACCATTGACACATAACAGAATGCAGTTCTTGCGGCGTGGTAAACATTGACCAAAGTTTGTTGATATAAGAGACAACGGAAGGCAATTTATCAAAATTGATGGTGAAATATTTAATAAATTACAAATGAATTATACACAGATAAACCTTTAGTTTATTGATGTAGTTCAAAAACCGTAAAATAACAAATATTGTGTTTTATTAGCTTGGGTGCCTTCACAGATTGTCCATGCACAGATATGGGGCTTGACGTTACATATGGTTTACTAAACAATCTCTCTATCAGTGTCAGTACTGTTAAATATTAACGAAGAACCTTGCATGCTGACCAAATTCTCATAATCCCATATTATTTCTTATTGTAAGTTACACGAAGCCATTGATATCGTAAACAGGCAAGACGGTCATTCTAGAATTTGACCTATAACCAATGACCTTTTGATCCCAGGATGTAAAGGGCTATTGTAAACTTCTGCAATGGCTTCAAAGTAACTGCGAAACAGAACATATTTTTATGATTCATGTTAAAAGGTATGATTAATTAAATCCACATTATTTTTATTTCAATCTTCAAATCATCATGTATACTATTGCAAATGATGGTTCTAGATGTTCGGTTTCAGTCACAAACATGTGACAGGCAGGTACTCACAAAATAACTGGGTACCGTCTCTACTCCAAGAATGTTACCATAGAGGTTTTAAGTGATGAGAAGCTTATGATAGGTGCCGTGTAGTCGCAGTTGGCACAATAATGACAGATGATAAAATGGCCATCCAGTAGCCCCTTATGTAATAGGAGTATACCGTCTCATACAGGTTTACTGGTATGCTTCCTGTTTTTTTTATTTTCTTTTTTTCATCCTGCCCATTTTTTTTTCTTTTCGTCAACATGCTAGCAGCACAGGTATATAAGCTACACACCTGACTCACGAGGAAAAATGTTGTGGCTTAAATGTCGAAAAATACTGAATGTGTATAATCTGGCTTTATTTATCACTTAGATAGTTTTTTATAGTCTGTTACCTACAGTTTTTTAGGTCGTATGGAGCAATTATCGTAACCCCAACATGTTTATCATCAGTTATACATGCAGTCTCATGATATGTTTAAACAATTCAAATTGAAACAAGGTTGGAAATTTAATGGGTTCAAACTATCATTAGATAGAAAATTGTTTTCACTAAAAAAAATCACATGTTTGACCTACCCTCCCATTCAAATCAACTGGAGGTCTACCCGAAGTCCATACATGGCAAGTTCAACCATGTCTGCTGCTGTTAAAATTCTTAGTTACGCTCACCCTCTGCTATGAGTTAAAATTTTTTGTTGGTTTCCCCTTCACAAACTTTCTACAGATAATATATTGTGGTATTGTAAGAGTATGAAATTGTACACTTATAGTATTGTGTGTTTCAGGTAATAACTATGGTACACCCAAACCTCCCAAAGATCCCACAGGACCTATTCGGAGATCTGGTTCCATAGGAAATACTGGTCCAGGACAGCTCCCTTATTCTGATGGCAAACGGAAGCGCAATCGAAGCAACACAGACAATGGATCATCAAAGTCATCTCCAGTTCCCTTTAACGAAGAAACTCCAGGACCGACCCATCGGAAAAAGTCATTGGAAAAGGCCCATAGTTCTGGTGACCTTGGACCGCTACCTCCTAACTGGGAAATGGCTTATACAGAGGAAGGACATCCTTATTTTATAGAGTAAGTATACATTAATATACTGAAATGAAAATTTCCATTTAATCATACTAAGCTTTCCAATGCTAGCAGTTGATGTAGTTTTAATCAATCAAACAGCTCAATATAAACAGCATGTATAGCATGTAGATATTGCACAAACACGTTATCTTGTGAAATTTAATTTGAAATCCGATATATCTACATTGGCTTGAGAGTGATTGGAACATAACCATCCACTATGGCCGAATAAAGAGACATTTTATTCATAAACAATTTTGATTTAATCTGATACTGACAAGTTAGAGAATTTCTGTCCCTGACTATACAATATAGTGCCTGAAGCTTGTGTTGGTAGATTTACCTATATAGTTGTCACCAGGTACAGACAATACAATACTGGATGCTAGATTAAATTTTACTGTAGATTTAATCATAAATAAGAAAGTAGGATTGTACATTTGATTATCCTTATGATCTCAGCAACATTTTGATGATCTCATTCCTGAAAGATTTCTATTTTTACATAGAGCCATATAACAAACTTCAGGGTGTGGTTTTCAGTGTGGAATATATGTAATATTGTGGTAAATACCGAACTTCTCTGAGGAGTGTGACTATCACATGGCTCCATATCTCTTGGCATGCTGAACAATGTGATCAGAGATGTAATTAGAATTACTTATCTGAGAATTACTTTAAAGGGCGTCTGTTCTAAATGAAGAAAGATATGGGATAATGACTATTAAGATTAATCGCCTGTGTGTAATGGTTTGATATTGGGAATTTTGTTCATGTCCGCAAGATGTTGTATTCAGCTTTTGTTTATGGAAGAAACATTTAAATTTAAACAGTTCAGACATTTCATCACCAAGGCACTATTTGGGTTTGGTATGAATATTATGCTCCTTTTTACCCTAAAACATTCCTTTTTTTCTTACTGTTTAGTAATTGATCTTGGTATGTTTGAGGGATCGTTCCCTGAGGCAAAATTTAATTGTTCATGGCTCTCCATTTTTGTTTCCATCCTCTGAAAGGAATTATGGGTGATTTGATCAGTATTTTTGTAAAGAAAATGTCTGATAATTGGTTGAAGAAGTTATTGATTTAAATTAAGCCTGAAGCCAGGGGTCTAAAATAACATCATGAGATTGCATTTTTGTCCATTAGTGAATAAAAAAGGGTTGATTGTATACTTGTACATGTGTGTATGGAATATCCCTTTGGCACACATTCTACATCTGTTGGTAGTTCTATTTAGGCGCTCTTGTAGTTTTCATGAAATTTAGTTTAAACAACATTTTTCATAGTAGCTGTGTTCTTTTCTTGGGTTTAACACTGCCTAATTCCACCATCTTCTCAGTTTGTGTTATGATGTAAACTAAACAGTTTAGCAGTTCCCTTTGCTTAGAGCAGGAGTAGAGCTGTAATCTGATGAGAAAACATGTGAAATAAATTAACGTATTGTATAAAAAACATATTTCATTTTGATGATACAAAACATATTATTTATGTATTTGAGATACAAAATCTATTACAATGACAATTATGATGGTATCCACCCACTTAAAAACAACAGGATCATGTACTAGTATCTAAATCATTGTGCAAATTTGATGCAAAATCATTAATTTTCTTTGAGTAATGTATGTATGTGTGAGGTTATATTTGTGTGTTTGTTTGAGGGGATTCTAATTTGCATGTCTGTGAATTAGTTAAGGACATACAAATTAGTTAACTGTTCCTTTTTATTAAATTTGAAATGAAGTTTTAGTATTTACATTTATTGGATTTTGTGAGAACATTCTATCCAATGTAGGAAGACCATGAAATTTTGGGTTCCCATGATATTAATATGTAATGTTAATTACAGTGTATTCCAATGATTGCCCCATCAATATTGCCATCATATAGTGACCTGTGAAAATTATTAGGACATTAAAAACATCTTAACCTATTTAACATACCATTTATTGAAAAAATATGGGAAAATTTAAGTTAATTTTTTTCATATTTGGAGTTTGTATTTCTGGAAACTAAAGTTTATCAATGTGTTGAATACATATGCTTAAGTATATACAATGAAGTAAAAATAAATTACTGAATTTCAATTAATTTGCTTAATTAATCAACTAATACTAAAACCAAAACAGGGTTTAAATGTTTGAGCAGACATTTAGTCGGTAGAAAACGAAAGAGGTCATGTTAAAGATCCCAGTAAACCCAGTAGTTGATCTACATAGCAGATGTGTATGTTCCCAGGGGAAACTTGTAGTGTTGGAGAATCAACAGGACAAGCTCAGATTTATGTCATTCCCATGTGTTAAAGCCACAGCAAAACACCAACATATCATCACTTTGAAATAAAAATGGATCATTTTAAAATGGAGCAAATGTTGAAGAAAGATAACTATTTTAAAAACTTGGAAAGGAGCATACTACTGTTTGAAAATGTCTTTGGTTAATATTTGTAAAACCTGTTCTACACCAAAAATGGTTTGTTTTTAAAGGTTATTCCTTCTTTTGATATGTATATTGAAATTGTTTGTTTGGGTTTTTAAAAAAAATATTTGCCATGATTTCAATTTTGGACCACCGTAATCTGTTGAAGTTTACTGCAGTGTGTTTGCCTCCAGCTGTGATTTGGTCAGATTCTATAGCTGCCACACAAAAACTCGGTAGGGATGTTTGACGGTTGATATGGGATATTTTCAGAGTCAACAAGTTAGGATTAGGTGGGACATAATTGCCTTTGACATTTTGAGATTTTCATTTCATTGTACTGGATCAGGATTCTGTTAAAGACTGAAGTTCCTTCATTACAGTAGTAAAATATGTTATGTAGATCAACTGAAAATGTAATGTATAATAGTAACCGTAAGGGATGTAGATTTTATTGAAACAAAAAACAGATTTGTGATAAATATCATAATGGTACATATTTTATTGATTATATGATCTAAGCATTTGTTGACAAAAGATTTTGTGGCAATTGTATATCATGAATATAGGAGTTATTGTGAATACACAGTCATCATTGCATTTGTTCTAAATTAATATTGTGCTGCAATTTGATTTTTGCCAAAATGAGTCTTTAGTATGCATAGCGGGATCAATTGCAAAACAACAAAGATTGTTTTGCCCAAAGACATTTCATAAAATAATCAGCCATAAACTGTAATTTATGATAAATTGTATTTGTTTTGTTTATATTTTACAATGACCCATGGGACACCAAACAGTGGCATTTCAATGTTGTAATGAATGTTGTCATTTTATATTTGCGAGAACACATTTTCAATACAAAACTAAAGATGCTAAAATAAACAATTTGAACTTTTGATTTTGCGAAATGAAGTCTGGATTAGGCCTAATTGAAAATAGAAAATTATCAAACGTGGCCTAAAACCTTCATGAGTCTACTTACATGTTTGCTTATAATCATTTTTCTCTGACAATTTGTTCATGGTAAATAACGTATTATAAAGAATGAGTATGAAAATACAATTGGTCATAATATCAGAATGATGCTGTTTAAATCTTTCTTGCAAGCACTGGATAGGTGATTGTAAGATAATAAAAAACCTGAGTGTTCCCAATACCGTTTTCACAACATCTGATTGGTCATTAAAGTTAACCACTAATTAAACAGCCAAACAAACATGGCGTTTCAAAGGTGAACAGTTCACACTCTGTTGGCAATTTTCATCGACAATGCTCAAGTTGCGATTTACAGAATACATTTTATAAAAGTTGCAGAGACACACCCTGTATATATACCAGCAGTGATGATCCATTATGAAGCCTATACAGTAATGGATAAATAAATTATATGGCAAAACGTCAGCTGATGACAAGGTAGTGTCACATACGAATATGACATGATCGTTCACGATAATTGTTGATAGCAGTTTAGATATTTCAAGGAATATACAAAGGTTAAGGAATATCACTGTTCTTATGGGAAAAACAAATCAAATTACAAATTTCTTGTCTTCTAAAAACATCTGTTAGAAACAAGTCAGTTTGGTGCATCAGAAAATTAACTTCTGGGTTTAGATGTCCAGAAAACACATGTCAACTGTTAATGTCACATTCTGCTTATTATCACATTTCCCCCTGACAAATTGAACATAATATTAAGCAGGTTTCATGGTATAATCATTCTACACTTTCAGAAGAACTTTCCATAATTATTCTACAATAAGCTCAGGGGATTAATACATTATTTCTGACACAAAATCAGGTGGTGGGCTTATTACAGGGACAATGACATAACATGGTTTTGTTATTTCACAGCAGTATACTGTCACTGTAGAGCATGTCTGAAGTTATTTCCACGTGTACTGGTATATAATGTACATTTCGTGGGATTTTGATTTTCTGGCATTTTTACAGTAAATTGTCGTATATGGGTGGGCTTATTACCAGTGATGTAGTTGTCAAATTAATATTGTAAGGAATATCTGATCAAAAGGAATGGTCACTAAGTAACACGAGTACAGCTGTTCGACTGGTAGTAAACTTGTAGTATGGCATTCATAGTTACAGGGAATATTTCTACCAAAATAGGCTTTGTGGAGTGTCATGTTATTTGGCCTAAAGGTATATTTCGTGTGTATAGATGACCATCAAGCATTCCTTGTCATAAGATTTGAGAATGTAAGACCTACCATTGATATTTGACTGTAGATGATTTAGCTGGAAGATTAAATGATCTTGACATTGATTCGAGGTTAAATTACAGAAGTGAGATAATATGTATGAATATAGAGTCTGTAAATATTAGAAAAAGATGGAGAGGCCCACAATAGGGAGAAAGTCAGATCTTGATATTGAAATCTCCTATTTTATCGAAGTATTTAGCAGATTATGTATTATATACTTATTTGTGAAATACCAATGTCTTTTGTCATGAAATGTTCTCAAGGAGTTTTGAAAAGAATTTCATGAAAGAGTTTGCAATATAGTGAAATGATTTTGTGCTCTGACTATTGAAAGACAGCCTCTGTTTACTAATGTTAGGTAATAGACTAATAATTTATCCACTTTGTTTATTTTTAAATGTCCTTTAATGGGCTATTTAAGAAAAATCATTTTCTTGATGTTTTACAGCCATGAGACAGAGAACACACACTGGTTAGACCCCAGGTTAGCCCATCTACAGAAACAGTCTGCGAAGGAATGCTCAGACAATGGTAAGCAAGCTGAAAGTAACTAAGTGTTGGATTGTGAATTGCTAACTTTAACCTAGCTATAAAAAGATATGCTAGTAGCTATGATCATACAAATGTAGAGTCATATTTCTGATAGCGAATCTAAAGTTTGATATATTTGGTTTGATTTTACTAATTTATGTTTTCATCAATTTATTTGTCCTATGTTATCATTAGTTCATTTGTGCTGCTGCTAAACTTTTACAAGTAGTTTCCCTTTGTTCTGTGCTGTGTTCATTTAACTCTTCCAAGAACAATTGCTCCCACTTTCTGTTTATCATGATGATAGTTTGAACTTCTTCCTTAACGTTTCATCAAACAAAGGTTGGAAAACCTATTTCATTACTACAATATAGAAATTTTGTCATCTTTGATATAATGTCATATACAAGCAGGTTAATTCAGAATAATGCAAAACACATTAGGAACATCATAGAAACATCAATTGATGTTGAGAATTGAGTAGTAGTGTTTGGTAAAACATGATAAAAGGACATCAAGGATCCTGAAGTGATTTTTGGTGAAGAATATGGTATTGTATTGCATTGATATCAGTCAGTGTTGTGATATGGTATCACTAGGAAAGATGTAAGTAAATTAAAGAAGCAAGTTGTTTACAGGTGAGTCGAGCACTGATATCTGGTATTCACAACTGAATAGAAAAAGAAAATAAATAAATTTTATACAAATGTATATGCACTACTGTTAAGGTACAAATTTTGACGAAATAGGGGAGACAACTGTTCCAGACTTAAGGAGTATTCTGAATGTAGTGTAAGGGAGGTTACTCTGTTTGTCTTGAACTATTCTTGGCCCTCACATCTGTCTTTTCTCCTCAAATATAGGCCAGTCAACAGAAATAGACTCGGAAGGTAAGGGCATGGATTAGCAGATAAATCCTCAAATGGCTACCAGAGAAAGAACCAAATTTTTTATTCTTTTCATCATTTTTTTTCTCTTTTTCAAAATTTTTGATTTTGTAGCTGGTCAGTAGTTGTATTTACATTTTCAAGGGTTTTGTTTTCCAACCTTCATTTCCTGAAAAAAAGACATCATCAAACAAAACAAATCACAAAATATTAAAAACTTGAAAATTGAAATTGGAATTTTGGACTTCAAATGAAAATACCCAATAAGAGCTCCCAAAATGAAACCCTTGATATTTTTAGTTTTTCATAGTTTTATTTTTTCGCATGGCTTCAAAAATTTGTTCATTCACAAGTGCTTGTTATGGTACATGTATCAGGTTTCTCTTTCTGTGAGGCCATTTTCTGTTATGGAAAACACATTGTTAGGTTATATCTGATTGTGATTCACTTGTCTGTTATTGTGCTCTGTTTATTTGTTGTACTACTAGATGTGTCTATGTATCATCCCAGTAGCTAACTGTTGTATCCTTCACACCAGATTATAATGATGAGGAGGATTTCATGGGGAAAATACTTAATGTACTCTATATAATGGTACATTATAACTCTAACCTATGAATTATTCTACAATATTACATATACAAAAGCTAAATATTTAATGTTGAAATGTACTGCACAGTAACATATTAAAGGGCTAGATATATCATATTGAAATATACAGCATAATTTCATACCAAGATGTATGTCAGAACTATATTGGCTTATTGCTAAATGAAAATTATTTTGAAGTTAAAATTGATGTGAATATATGAAATGAATACATACCCATATCTGATCACTTGTGTAAAATGTACTGTTTTATCTTTAAGTGCTCATTCCCATTAAATTTATTCAGCATTAAAAATAATTTAATTGAAAGGAACTTTTTAGATTAATGTTTCAATAATGACAATGATTCCTTAAGAACACAGGTGCACTATTTAACTCAGTTATACAAGTTAAGTGTGATTATATCCCTGGATTCTTTTCAGTGAGATCAACTTTCCGAGTAGTAGTTACTAGAGGTGAATATATACTCATGGCTGCATGTCTACCTTAGGACAAAGCTTTTATGCAGATTTCTTATAAATATGAATACAAACGGATAATATATGCTTATTATATCCTAGATTAAAAATGTACAAAATTTGACTGGAAATATGAAATTTTTTTAACAATTTACTATATATTTTATGAAATAAAAGATGAATTTGCTTTCATTAATGTAATAGCAAAAATATTAAAAAAAGTGAAAAATACTGTTAGGTTTTTCATAATCTTTTATGAAAACATAATAGTTTGAAAGTTAATGCTGTCAAGGAGAAGCTTAATCATACCCTATATATCAGTACACAATACCCGGACATATTCACGCTATCTATTCCCCCTTATTTCATCACTGTTAAGTATCACACAGTTCATATAGTGCATACACATGTACCCTGGTCGCTTTATAGTATAACCAGATACAGTGTTATATCTGTTCAACCTTTCATATTCAGAAATATCTGCCATTGTTCCTGTTAAATGGAAATTCTGTACAGTGTACCAGATAAAATACTACTGTATATGCTGTTCTAAACATTTTCATCAACACAATATTTTGTCATGAATTTCTTTAACTATTTCATTTTCCATCTTTTATTACTGAAGTGTATCAGATGTCAGAATTAATTGTTATCATCCCAGTGAGAAACTCCTGAAATGTGATGATAATCTTATCTTCTTCATTTTTGTCCTATTTTTAGGCACGAAAAGCTTCTATAAATGGAGATTGACAATGCCTTGAATCTGAGGTTTCAGATTTACCAGATTGAAGTACTCAATCTATATGAGATATTTTTAGAAGTTGAAATGTTTGGTTTTTACCGTTCAGATACATATGCACCTGAAATCAGATGGAATATTGAAAAGAAATATCTGTTTTTAATTTCAAGACAAGAGGTTCAAAGAAGGGAAATAGCTTGTCTGCTGTCCTATTGATCAAGTGTATTAGATGAGTTAAGTGATGAAGAATACTATTTTGAGTTAATTGATAAAAATTGATGAATTTTAATTCAGTTGAGGTAATTAATGAAAATTAGTGATGTAAATCAGTTGATTTCTGAAGTATATCAGATGACATGTTTGGTGAATGGTCCAGCACCTTTCATAGAGTATGAAATGAGTTAATTGGTTATCTGTATATTTAAGATACCCGTTTGTTTATTCTATAAATACAGATTATCTCCCTTGCTGTTCTGTGGTATTCCAGCACTAAGTTTACATTATCAGTGAGACATGTGCTGTGATTGTATTACTGTACTAACTTCCTCACAAGATAGGATTACCATCTATATCAACATCCTTTGATCACATTTCCAACTTGATCACATTTACTGACAATAATGGTAGATAAAGTAGACATGTTTCTTGTATATAGACAGAATGTGGTCCACTTTTATATTCTGTTTTGGTATACCGCTGGCCTCTCCATCTGTCCATTTTGGTCCAGTTTATATCACCTTATTACTGTGCATTTTTTCCCTTGCTGTCTCATGAAACAGTTTATTTTTGTCTGGAGTTAGATTCGTCCTTATATCACAATGTATACCATGGTATTTCAACCTGTAACTCAGTTTTTGTTTTAGGCAAATGGTTAGCTGTATTTAGTCTCTCAGTATGCTGTATATTAGAATTTTCAATTTAACGTAATAGTGGTATAGAAGGTTTAATATTTTGTACTTATGATTAAATATATAAGTAATCAATCGCATCAATGTTGAGATAAGTAATTTTTCTTTAATTATTAAGAAATATCTAGTACATATTTAATAACATAAAGTGAGTCTCAGTGCTAGCTTACAAGAGACATGTTATTACCAATATTTACTGCTGTTCATCAGTGAATATTTACTCTGCTACACACTTCCCTGCACCAATGAAATATTTGTAGTATGAATACTGTTCTCTGTAAATATCTTTTAATGCTTTATTGTAAACATTTTTTTGAGATATTGATTTTCATTGATTTTGTTGGTACTCTATTCACGAATTCAAATGTCAACAAACTAAATACGAGCTCTTAGTATGTAATTCATATCTTTAGTCCTTTTTATCCAGGAAATAAGATGTCCAGGGAATCACTAATTTTTAAGAAATAACGAGCCTGCTTCATTGATTTTTTCACATTGCCTAGAGCTATGATCAGAGTTGATACAGATTGAAATCATGAATGTTGTGTACATCATCAGACAAGGTACTTGTTATCTACATTTGTTGCCTCAGTATCATTTCTTCACATGCTTCAAAATGATCTCATAATATTGACGTTAACAAATTTGCAATTATTGTGATCAATTAAGTAGTTTCATAACATTAATTTTGTTTTTTACTTTCTTTCTTTGAACTCTTGGTGGTGGTTTTTGTTTCTCAGGAAGCTGAGAAATAGATCTGTTTCTGCTGTTGTGGTTTTGTCCCCAGGTATAATTACTCTGGATAGCATGTGACGGGTCTCCCATATGTTGTCAAGTGAGATAGCCACAAGTTACTACAAGAACACCATGCCTCAAAATGACCCGCAGCCGGGCATCGACAGGGTGATAAACCTGCAAATCTTTCAATTCAGAAATATAACTTGCACCTGTATATATGTACTGCCTATACAAGCTAGTTATTTGCACAAGGAACCATCATGTGTTTGGTATCGTCTTGATAAAAAAGAGATGGTCCTGAATGTAGAGTATTTCCTTAAACTGTTTCATGTCTGCATTCAGACTACAGACTTGAGATTGCCAGTGTATACTTTTTCATGTCTGCATTCAGGTTTTGTTTATTTAAGATGAAGATGACATTTTGCAGAGATTTGAGTGAAATATAATCATGTCAGAAATATGAGCTGTAGGAAAGATAACCCTCAATTAACACACTGGTAGTTAAGTGTCAAATAGATACAACAGACAACTGGCACATTCAGAGTAACCATACACTGAAACAAAATACGAATCTGTGATAAGGAAGGAAATAAAATAAAGTTTCAATTTCAGCAATTTGATGCTTTATTAGATTTCAAACTTACTTATAATTCATTCAAAGATAGAAAATAAGCAT